TCGGGTGAAAACGGGCTGAGCTTTCGTCCATCATATGATGGACATCATCAGAGCTGGGTGTCATTCTTGTGAAAGTCTTACGTTAATACTAGTGTAAGAACATTATCCGGCTCTATCTTACTTCTTATATCGACTTAATTGAGCCAAAAGAAAATTAAAAATTAAGAAACCTAGATAGATCGATATAGAGTAGTTTGGTTAATTTTATTTCATACTGGTCCTGTTATTTTTGCTAGATTTTATGAGTATGTGTATTTGTGCGTGTTAGTGTCCATATGCAATACGACTCCTAAATCAGAGTTGTCAAAGTTTTAATCTTAGGTTCTGAACCTCAAGACCTAATGACCTAAGAGAAAGCTATTACCAAGACTACGTAGATCCGTAAACAAGTATGGTTAAGAAATGAAGATATGAGCCTATTATCATGAAAATCAAGTTACGAAACGATTTTTTTAACATTTCAGTCTAGGGTCATTAAGAAAGGCAAGACTAGGGGTGCGTAATCTGACATGTCTGGTTTGGTTGATGAGATTACTCTAACAGTTTAAACGAATGTAAGTAAATTATAACCCTCATTAGGCAGACAAATTAAATCGCCTTCCTTTTTTTGACGTCGGCTCAACACCCTTTCTCTCTTTCAATCCATCAATCAAGCATAAGTAGTTCCTACCCCTGTATTTTACCATATGTTCCGCCGCCTCTGACCTTTGGATCAAACTGCCTTTGCAAGCAATTTTGTGTAATACCGATTTTCGTTGAATAGGTTGGCATATCTCACTAACATAACATTGACCAAATGAGCAAACATTCTTGTAGCAGCCGGATCTCGTCAAAATGCATATTGTATTACAGCCAAATAGCTGCAGTGCAATGAGATTCATCAGTCCTCATCTGGTGAGATCGACCAACTACTATCTTCTCCATTCACTTTCATACGAAATGAAAGTCCTCCTAACAATGTTATCTCAAGAAATTCATCGAAACCCAGTTTCATTTCGTATCTATAATAATATCATGTTATGAGATTAAAGCCGACTTATATAAATGATAAAAATCATCTTATATTAAACTTTAAAATATTTTATGATACTATAATAAAAACAATATTATGTTTAGTGGCTATTGCTCCGATTCTACTCATACAAGTTTTAGTCATCACTTAGCCAGTTTAACCGCATTTTTTGTTTGTCTCCTCCCGCCCAACTCTATTCATGCTAAATCCTATTATATTGTTCTAGCTCCCTCTTTTATTTGTCTTCGGGCATCCCTATTTTTGTATGCGTTCAGAACTTTAATTTCTAGACCCTAATACGATGTAATAAGGTTAAGAGACGCATTGTGTATATAGTACTTATTCTCAACGTCCTCGTGACTGTCATACGGATTCCAATTTTTCATAAGGAAGCCCTAGTTGTTCTTATTGAAAATGTTGTCGCGCCCTTCAGCACGGCAAAATAGACAGCGTGTTCAAAACCTGAACGACAGGCGTTCTAGCGGATCTAGACTCATCATTAACAGTCCAACTCCGGTATCCTCTGGAGCTGCGGATAATGTCTCCCAGAGTATTCCATACTCTGAGGACATTGGACGGAATCTTCAAGCAAGATCAGCCAACAGTACTCTGCTAGCTACATTAAGCAGCGGAGAGCACCGTCTGACTACATTAACCGCATTAGTGAGCTTTTTGTATAGATATTTTCATCATGTCCTAATATTTATTGCATCTTTTAATTATCGAGCACCTGAAATAAGTCTTATTTTGCTA